TTTTTTTTGGGACCATTTCTTGATTGAAAAAAAAGAAGAAGAATGATTTTGATTACCAACGTCCCAAGTACATCAAAAAATCAGACATCTTGGCAGCAAATATAAAAAAAGAAAAAAAAAAAACGGAAAAGAAACCTGCATGCCGAGCATCACGACATGAATGATTCGTTTTTTTTTTAATCATGCAGGAACATCAACATTCATTACCACATGAAGGAGTTGAGGCCGCGAATTCCTCACAAACAACCCAGAGAATACTGTGGCCATTACCCAACTTATAATTGGTGCTGGAAACCGGGTCCAGTGTCCCATATAAGGTATCTCAAGAAACTTCCTTTTAAAAAAAACTCAATTCAAAATGACCAGGTGTGGAGGTACCAACCCTTAGACATCAGTGAAATTATTCACTTACTGCCGACTGAACAACACATCAATGCTCCGCTCTATGGGGATTTCTCTTACTTAGCGGTGAGGGCGCGGCTCATAGCTCCACTATGATTTTGCTCTCTGCTCTTTACTGTTGTTTTTTTGGGAGCAGTTTTCGAGATTGGTTTGAACACAGTGCGCCGTGAGTTTACATGGTTGTGTGTTCGTCTGAGTCAGTCTACCTGTATCTTTTTTACTACTCCCTATTTAAGCACAAACAGCAGAGAAAGCAGAAAACCAGAAGTCCAAAAAACAGAGAACAGAAAACAGGAAAACAGGAAACCAAAAGGCAAAAAACGGAAACAAGAAAAAGGAAAACAGAAAAATCCTCATTGGTCTGTGACAACCAATCACTCAATTAACGTAACCAGAGCACTCAACTAACGTAACCAGTCGCTGAGCAAGCACCCACATTTCATCTTCCATCAGATCGAACAGTGCTGAGCACTCTGTCCGCTGTTAGGCCACCATCTGCATAAGATCCTAATCTCACTCAGCATGATGGGTCTCCATCAAATCTAACAGTTCACTCAGAAACTTGAGCACCCTGAGCTCTCTCTCTCTCTCTCTCACACACACATACACACACACACACACACACACACACACACACACACACATGCTTTTTCAGGCGGTTTTTAAGAAAATTAGTCAACGGCTATATCTAATTTATTAATTGACTGGATATAGCAGCTGGATAATTAGAGAAAAGGAAAACGCAGAAATGCATGCACGCTAGGGTGCTCTGTTTGAGTCATGTGTGTGTGTTTGTCTGTGCGTGTTCCTCCCGATTACACACACACAAACACACCCACACACGGGCATATTGCAGGTGC